CAGATGTATTTGGTCTTCCTTGTGCATGCAGCATCATGGCATCTGTTTGCATTTTTGACTTGGGTGAGCTCGGACCAGTGATTTCCTGCACTAAACCTCACTTCACTGGGTACTTTGGTCACAGCTCTGCACTTTGCTGGAGGTGGGGCTCCACTGGGTCTTCATTTTCTTTTTTGCAGACGGGAGCCAGAATTGATCAGTACATGGGCCACAGAAGCTTTAAAGATGAGGAGATTCATCTTTTCCAACCCAGACATCAGGTAGAGTCGCCAGGCATTTACAATAGTCACATCCAAAAAATGAAAGAACACTGATGTTTCTATGTCTGTGGAGATGTATTACCACACACTGGTCAACGAGTGGTTATAAAGGGCTACTGAGTAGAGTCTTTGGACACTGATGTTGGCTTGTTCTTTCTTCAGCTTTCTTTGGGCCGTGTCTTCAGGGGACTGACCTGCACAGGTCGATGCCATTTCTGAGCTGACTGAGCCGTCAAGCCAACGTGTGACAGTGATGTTATTGTTTGTGCTGACAACAGAGCAGGCTCCTCAGCCTTCTTTTTTCAGTTGTTTTTCACTCTTAAGTTTCTCACTTGCTCCTTTCACTCTGTTTGTTCTGCATGTACTTGTGCCATAGATGCCAAAGTCTTCCAAGGCCTCAAGGAGTGAAATGCTGCAGAAGAACTTGTCAAAAAAACACCTTGTGGTTTTTGTGCTTTATGTCATCACAAAGGCGCATCACTACATCTCCAGCCATTCCCAAACCACTGCTGTGACCCCTAATTGCTGAGCCCTGGTATAATTCAAATTTGTAGATATAACCTGGAGACCCTGCCCTGACCCACACTTTCACACCCCAGGGTTTGGGCTTTTGGGGTATGTATTGCTTGATTGACAGTTTGCCTTTAAAGGGAATGATTTTCTCATCAATTGATTGGAATTCTTCAGGGTTTGCTGCCATCAGGAATGTTTTCTGAAGTGTTCTTAGCACTGGTGCTGTTTTGAAGAGCCTGTTTGTGTTTGCTGGCTGGTAAGTATAGTTATCCTCAGAATTTGCTCATATCTGTTTACAGACGTAGCATGTGCAATTATTCCAAGGCGAAGGCCTTCCTCACTGGACCAGTACATCCCTGTCCTAGGATACCGAATGTACGCCATGACCACGTTGATCCCTAGAAAAATTTGCATTTTACACAGAATTTGTCCGTGAACTCTAACTGGGGTGGCTCACCCCCCCTACATATATAGAGTAGAGCCCTTTCGCTTGCAGAAGCGGTTACAAAAGATTAAAAAAGTTTGTTGCACAAAACATTGGTTTCCACAAAACTGACCTCCCGAGGTGCCCCACAGCAACCGCCCCGCCACTAATTGCCCTTGTTTGCTACTGATAAGCAAAGCCTATTTCAAACTTACTTTCCTAGCTTCTGCACAGATGTTTGTCCTGTTATGAAACTCTAAGTTTCTGCAGGGTCATCTTACACCCATGTGACCCTCAACAATACGCTGCTAACATAAAAAGAAAGATATAAGTTGAAACCACCATTTTTACTTCACAGTTCCTTATTCTTTGCTGCACTTGTTGTCTAAAACTATGGGCAAATTATAATTTTACTAACAACATATATAAATGATCTGGATGAAAAGATTATACTTTTAAAGCAGATAGACTCAGAATGAATTTAATTGCAAGCAAAACAGTTATAATGAAAGATAAATCAACTACATGACTCATGTTAAACATATAGTCAGCAGTGCATGATGTCCACTGTATTGGACACATGGTTTATAGTAATTTCCTACTTAGGTGAAATAAAATTATTCTAACTAAGTTAATAAAATTGTTACCTACATACTACTGCATGTCAGAATATTTTTTTAACCTCTAGGATTCTCCTTAAACAGAAGGATTGAGAAAATGTTCCAGAAGTGGTCACAGAGTATGTCTGTCTGCCGGGCCTTTTTTGACTGGGATTACATTAACTTGTAGTTACAACAACTTGCCACTGAATTAACCTCAGTGGA